TTTTTTTTTTTTTGTACAACATCCTAGTAGTAGATTTGAAAATGTAGGTGCAATTGAAATTTTTCTTAGAAAATATAAAGGATCAAAACTGGTGGAAGAGGAGATGGCAAATCCAACTAGGCCAATAACATATATCCTCTCAAAGTCTGATGAAGATCCAGAAAATTTTTGAGCAGTTCTACCTAAACCTGAGGGAACAAACATTTGTCATTCTGTACTAACTGTTGCAGAGCCTGAGTAGCGCTGGGCGGTCCAGTGGCAGCCCCTGTGTGGAGAGGGTCTGGGTAGGGCACTAGCTGTGCCTGGGACGTTCCCTCACAGAGACTAGACGAGGGTGATAATCCACACCTGAGGTTTCCGGGGATTTGCCTTTGTCCCTGCAGCATGAAACTAGGAAACAGAAGCTCAGGTTTGTACAGGTGGCTGGGTTAGTCGCCTCTGTTGGCAGAGCCTGGAAAAGGGCAGAAACTTCCGAGTCTCTAGCCTGGGATGCCTGGCTCTGGGTGGAGTCAAGGTCCAGGATCTGGGGTGGAACCCTAGGTCCTCTGAGGGGAGTGGGCCTTGTGCCCTGATTTGAACAAAGCTCGAAAACACGTGTGGATTCTCACCACACCTGGGCACCCACACACATACTCTGCCACCCGCACCTGCTCACGCCCTGCACATTCCTGTGTGCCTGGCCTTCCCACCAGCAATCCCACCCCCGCGCCCCCCTTCAGTGTCATCCTTGGCATCAAAACCCAAATATCTTACGCCCCTGCACCCAACTGTACCCACCCACTGGCTCTCGAGAGCACTCCCCTCAAACTAGCTCCGGGGTAGATAGGCTGCCGCAGACCCACCAGCCTCCGCCTGATCTGGCTTCCAGTGTTCCTCTTCAGCCCTCAGCCCAACTCCCAGCTCTCTCCCTCTCCAACCTGAGCCCATATGTCAACACTCAGGGCTTAGGGTCAGGGCTTCAGAGGCCCCAGGGGAGGAGGGCAGGAGGAAGAACTCCTGGCCCCCAGCCCACTTTCTGGCTGACAGCTCCTGCTGCCCAAGGTCTTCAGCCCCTCCCCATGGCTGCCTCAACCGGCTTTTCAGGAGACACTGCGTCCTGTCCTAGCTCAGCTCATGGCAATCAGACCCCTGCCCTGGCCTAAGGGCTGGGAGGTGAGAGGCCTGGGTTCCATGATGAGAATGTCATCCTGGCTTCAAATGCACAACCCTCCCCAGGGGCCCCTAAGTTGTCCTGGGGACCCAGGCAGGCACCCATCCTTCCAGCCCCCTGTGAGACTCAGGCTCAGGCTTGGATTCTCTTCCCTGGGCTTTTTCAAACCCACCCGTGTGTTCTATCTATGAATATTTACTGAACCCCAGACACTGTCCTAGAAGACAGGGATATAGCGATGACCAACTCAGACAAGGGCCCTCTTTCCTGGAAGTTTACAATCTGGTAGGTGAGTCACTTGACAAAAAATAAAGGTGATTTCAGATGGTGCGAAGTCCTTTAGGAACACAAGGGTGGTTTTACGGGGTGTAATTGTAACCTCATGTTACTCTCAGGAGTGGGCAGGGATGGTCAGGAAGGTGACATTTGAGCCAAGTGCAGAATGAGGAGGAATTGGCCACCCGAGGCTCTGGGTTCTGCGTTCTACACAGAGAAAAGATCAAGTGCAAAGAAGAGAGGCCTCAGGACAGTGGTGTGCTTGAGGAGCTGGGACAAGGCCCTTGTGGCTGCAGAGGAGCAACTGAGAGTAGGAGCGGGGACAGCTCCAACTGTCCTGGAGTTCTCTCCGACCCCACTGCCCCCAATTGCAAACTCCATCTTTCCAGACTCTCACTGCTGGGGAAGCCAGGGGCTTAGATCCCTGAGAGGAGCCACCGTGCTGCAGATCACCCTGGCCCTGGGATGGAGGGTGATTGAAGGTGGGTTTGAGAGAGAGGAGGCCTGGACAGTGGGTGAGAAATGAAGAGGGAGGTGGTTGGCAGGGCAGACACCCTCCTTTGGGGTGGAGAGCCAGAGCCAGGTAAGGAGCAGATATGCCAGGTTCTTCTCCATGCGTGACTCACCTTGTTTCCTCCTCCTCTTGTTGCTCAATCCCAAATCTCCCTGGGAAATACCTCCTTGACTGGACCAAGTCAGTGCCTCGCAGGGGCAATTGACTCATGAGGGGTGGAGAAGAGGGCGGGAGCAGAGGATAAATAGCAGCCTTGCTTCCCGGGCTCCTCTCTGCATCCCCCCACCTCCCCAACACCATGCGCCTTGCCAGTCTTCTCAGCTCCTGCTGCCTCCTACTGCTCCTGGGGGCCCTGCCGGGATGGGCAGCCAATGATGACCCTATCGAGAAGGTCATTGAAGGGATCAACAGAGGGCTGAGTAATGCAGAGAGAGAGGTGGGCAAGGCCCTGGAAGGCATCAATAATGGAATCACTCAAGCTGGAAGGGAAGTGGAAAAAGTTTTTAATGGACTTAGCAGCATGGGGAGCCAGGCCGGCAAGGAGGTGGACAAGGGGATCAACCACGGCTTGGACAAGGTAGCCCATGGGATCAACAATGGCGCCGGACAAGCAGGAAAGGAAGCAGAGAAGTTTGCCCATGGGGTCAACAACGCTGCTGGACAGGTTGGGAAGGAGGCAGACAAAGTGATCCATCATGGGGTCCATCATGGGGTCAACCAGGCGGGAAGTGAAGCAGGGAGGTTTGGCCAGGGGGCCCACCACGCCATGGGGCAGGCTGGGGATGAGGCTGGGAGGTTTGGCCAGGGAGCCCACCATGCTTTTGGTCAGGCTGGGAAAGAGGCGGAGAAGTTCGGTCATGGGGCCCACCATGCTTTTGGTCAGGCTGGGAAAGAGGCGGAGAAGTTGGGTCAAGGGGCCCACCATGCTTTTGGTCAGGCTGGGAAAGAGGCGGAGAAGTTCGGTCAAGGGGCCCACCACGCTGCTGGTCAGGCTGGGAAGGAGGCAGAGAAGTTCGGTCAGGGAGC